GTGACAGATGACTTGACTAGTGGTTTCAAAATCAGGTGTACTACGTTACATGATTCGGTGATACTACTGGTATTGTGAAGGCGAGTTCAGAATTGTAACGATACCACAGACGATACATAAGAAGCGATTGATATAATCTTCATGAACGGTCATCTACATTCTGGACAAGCTCTGTAAACACGTAAGTGACCAGAGAAAATACCTACAATAACACATACCAGTTATCTGCAGGACGCATCTCTTTAGCACTATTTAGGATGCTGAGTACAGTGTTGGTCCGATGCACAGAAGTCTTGCTGTGGTTGTGCACTTGGGCAGAGAAATTTGCAATGGGTTGACAGGACAATGCCACATGTTGACCCAAGATATCCAGTAGAAGCTGCACTTCTTGCTCTGCCTTCAAGTAGTCCCTTTTTGAATCTTCACGCATGACACGGGCGAGAGCTTCCTGCCTTTCGTGTTCTGAGACTTCCCAACATGCGGTGACGTTCACGAACGGCTTCCAGATAGTGGACAATGCATTGGAAAGAGCTTAGGCTAAGGTCTTGCAAAATGCTCGTATATGCATCCCTAACCTAAATGTAACACATACTATTAGAACTACTAAGAGACATGTTCAAAACAATTCCTACCCTCTTGCTGACAGCTTCCGATGTGTCATTGAAATCAACAGACCAGCCTGACAATCGCTCAAAAAGACATTGGTCTTCAAAGGACACGGTCCTGCGATGGGGAAGATCGCCGTATTTTATTAGCAATATGGAATGAAATCTTGGAATTAGGCATTGGAGGAAACATCTCATCATCTGATGTGGTGTGGGCTGCTATTATTTTTAAATTTGAGTCTATCCACCAGTAACTACTACAAATGAGTCATTCATACCTGATCCTGTTGTAGAAACTAATGATGGTGAGCTTGGAGGAGAAATTGAATGATGGCTGGGAGTACTGGGAGTCCTAGCAGCGGAAGGATAACAAGGGCACTGAAGAGGTGTGGAGGGGTATACACATGGACTCCCTTCAGCTTGAAGTTCAAGTTCATTTCCGGAAGATGGAGCGAAGTTGGTGTTCATAATTTTCAACTCATGGGGTCTTAGGTTGGAGGTGTTACTACGATTGGCATGTGTAAGGGTTATGGTAAATAGGCCCATCAGAGTTTGAACATCCCGGAGCTCGTGGCAAGTATAAGTCTTTTTTCTTATAGCACATCACAAAAATGGGAACTTAATACATATCCAAAATGGAACTAATTTTAGCACATACCAAGATGGGGAACTGGGTTTGAACCTTACTTCAGGGTAGCCAGAATTATTGCCTAATTGTGCTACGAAGCACTCAGCTGCCGAAGGCTACACATACTTGAGAATGTGCGTACGATGTCGGAGTCTCTTCCCTACTGTAGTACGTCACCAGTCACATAGCTAATATAAAAAAGCTCACCCCTGAAGTCCGAACATCTGAATCAACTCCCCAAGTGACACTATGCTGCAGAAGAATATAATTAACACTCACTTGGCCTTGGACAACTTGAGGATGTCCGAGTCAGAAAGTCAGGAAGCTGCCGCAATGAGGATAGCAGTAGGTGTCTGCAGCCACATGTTTTCATTCAAGTACTGATGGAAATCAGGAGGCTGGAGCTGGTCCCAATTTTGGCTGTAAAGTCATAGTACAAGCTCAGGATTCTCACACCGCTAGCAGTGGTACTCGTCAGACTCACAAGAGGAAGATTGGAGGTGTCGACACCGTTGACAAGGAGAATGTACTATTTCCGAATGGCTGCGGCACCCCGACTATCAAGCGCATCTGCCGGGAGAAAACCGGCACCAACTGGCAGACAGTCCTTGATGTGATTGCATATGGTGAAGAACAGCGAAATAGACGGGATAAAGACATGGTAGTTACTATAGAGGGTTGAAAGTAGTTGCAAGAAATTTTACTTACAGGGACGGTACGGTCACAGTAGCTTTCGGATTATGATCAATGTGTGGTAAAAAGGATTGATGCAGACTCGACTTTGCACTTTACGTGTGCTCTCGCACTGCCTTGGCCCCAAGTCCGAGCGAGCAAAGTATCAGCATTTGCATTGTTCAGATGCATGACCTATTAGTACTATGGTAGACGGTGAGCTGTGAATCCTTGGCAAGAGAAGAAGAAGAGCCTTTGACGCAGTGAATAAAAGTATCAATCGAACTTGAACTTCATGCGCTGGGACTCAGAAACACCGTAGGACAATAACAAAAAAACAGAAGACTAGAAAAGAAAAGCAGTTCAAGTTTGTAGCATGAATGTCACTCTGGGCCGAATTGATGTATACGGTATATGCTGCAAAGTTTGACGCATCGATCGAGTGATGCTGACTTTGCTTGAGATTGACACTCATCAATTATCAGTTGAAAGGGTCACAGTGTGGTCATTTGACTCGGATGGTCCGAGTCAATGTTCGGTCGATACTACTAGTAGTATCTGCGTCAGAGATCAAACGATCCGATGAGTCAGGTTCAAGTTCAAGTTTGAATTCATTGAATGGAGGCCAGATCCGTAGTACTAGTAGTAAGCCTTGCGCCTACTAGTACAGATGTCAGAGTCTGGGCCGAATCAATCATTATCATATGATATGTTTGATGCATCAATAGTGATGCTGAACTTTGCTCGAGATTGACACACTGGGTTCGTCAATCAGTATCGGTTGAAAGGGTCACAGTGTGGTCGTCTGACTCGGACGGTCAACATTCGGTCGATGCTAATACTAGTAGTATCCGCATCAGAGATCAAACGATCTGAGTCCAAGTTCTTCGAGTTGGAATTTGTTGAATGGAGGCCAGATCTGTACTAGGAGTAGTAAGCCTTGGCCAGCCGCCTATTACACTGACTTGATTCCCTCACCATATTTTGATTGCTCCTTCATTCACTGTGGAAACGAGACATTGATCCCAGTCTATTCCGAGGTGTGTAGCTTGTATAATCCCACCTCCACAGTAATTCCAACCTAAAGTCGATGTGGTAAGGATCCTGGGAAGGCAACAATTGTAAATAGACCCTTTCCATACTTTGCGCTCTCAAATTCCCCCCCCCCCCCCCCATACCTTGCAAACTACTACCTAATACCACGCTAAGTCGCCCAGGATATTTGTTCTATGGCCTTCAGATAATGCTAGAAGTTGGTTTCAGGTGAGTTCCTCAACAATTTCGCTAAGTCCCTTAAGACGAGCCATGAACAGCAGATTATGATGTTTTGAGGCACACTACCAGCATGCATGGACTATGGAGGTGGCTAGTGGGTACCGAAATAATGGTAGGGAGATGGAGATGGCTGATGCATATCCTGAGGTGAGTGCTGTGGGCTGGAGGAACGGAGCCCTGGGGTGTCATTCAACTGACTCGGATAGCCTTCAACGTGCAGACCAGACAAGCCGCCATTCCTTTGAAAATGCATACTGTCAACTCGTCTTCTAGCTCTCCTTCCAAGGCATCCAGAAAGAAAAGAAAACTCAAGACCATGAAACTCGACCATCCTCTGAGCCTTCGAACAAGAAACTAAGAACTGTCATAAATTGGGGACGCCGCATCTTTGCCCGGTCTTATGCTACGCATCAAAAACAAGCTAAATCATCCTTGCACTCGCTATCATATCAATCTAGGTACCGGTCCAAGTGAACAACATTCTCCCTTGCCAGATGCTGAAACGATGTCAGGTACTGAGGCAGAAGGAGGCGGTTGTTGCTGGGGACTCTGCATATGTATCTGTTGAATATTGATGTAGGTGAAATTGACAATGCATGTTGCCTATTCCAAACCAAGGTCCAGGGTTGAAGAAATCATCACCTTGAGGCAACTGTGGCACCACTTGGTTCCCGACGTTCAGCAGAGATATATGGGACTGGGGTGTATTATATTGCAGAGGGTATGTTTCTCCCGCTGGTTGTTGATAATCGCGTGCATTAACATGGGTAAGAGCACTGCTAGGGCATCTCTGAGGTTGGCCTTAGAACTCGTACTTGGCCGAGCAGGGTGGTGGAGGATACTACCAAGGACCAGGGAGCATCTGTGGGGGGCTAGCAGGACAGTTCTCTGATACATTACATGGCTATTCAGAATAGAAGCAGATCCATTTTCTCTTAACTGCAGACACAGTAGATGTGTGGATCCTCATAACCTGATTTGATACCACGTCGGTTTAGACGCTAAGGCAACAAGCCTATCCCTGACTCAAATCCTTACAATTCAGACTCGGTTTTGCTTCTCAGACGATGATATCATCGTCATGATGCAACCTCCTTGCAATTTTATGCTTTGGGTTCGAATGGAACACACCTTTTTGATCTTCAGGTTGAGGTCTTGCACTCGAGCTTAACTCAGAAGCACAATTTTTCATATACCAACTTGACTCGGAAGTCATCCGTGTGAAGCACGTCAAATACAGGGCAAATCCTCATCAATCAAGTATGTTTTCTAATAATTGCCTGTGTCATATCATGATGCTGCAGCTTGCCTGGCATAGTGGAACTCTGCAAAATCCCTTGAGCAATCCCTCACCATTACTGTTCGCGAGCGCAACCTTCACTATCAAAAGAACCTTCAACTTGAACATTTGCAATGTACAATCAATGGAATCGAAAGCTCGAACAATATCATGTTCTGGCATGTCGCGGCGTCCTTTGTCTTTGTGTCGTCGAGAAAATTTAGTATTGAGGCTAGGTAGGCATCGTCCTCTCCCAGTCAGTTCAGCAGATTGAATCTACTAGTAGTAAGGCTAGGGCGAGGAACTTTGTGTCACTTGCTCCATGGCATGCAACCTGTTCCAAATGGGGATGCAGGGCTCAAGTCTTCTCAGTGGATCATTCTGAATCATCTCATTATTGGCATTGCGCTTTGTCATGGTCAGGTTTTGCAGCAGGACCAGCAGGCTTTTATGCACCTTTTCAAGCTCATCTTTGAGGTCTGAAAGGTTCATTGCGCATTGCGCAATCCTAGTATTTCTGATATAAACGCCCAGGACAAGGCCGTGCACAGGAGTCCTTCTGTGGCTCGACAGTTGGCCTGCTGGCCTTAAGCTCAACACCGAACTCAGCCTATTTTATTCGCACAGCTTTATGGGGCTGATTTCGCTTTGGAACAGAGCGTGCTGACATCGGCCCTGCGCGATACCCTGCACGATCCTCATTGATGTACAGGAAGCTTCCAAACCGTCATACCTCTCCTTCCCATCATGATGGTATTCAGTACGCTTGAGCTTGGGAGCGCGTTTGGGGTGACGATGAAACTTGCTATGGTATGTGATATTGTGTGTATCTTTATGGCACATGTACTACAACTGTGCTATCTGATCTTGGTGACTACGGTCACGGTGTATGGTCATTTGTTACGCTTGGCAGCGTCACCTTGGAATCTTTTTCAAGGTGAATCGTTTTGCGGCATGATATTTTGAGAACTAGAAATAACCCAACTTAAGCGTCCGACGACATAATATGCTAATGAATCTGACAGATCCTTGGGACTACGATGTTGACCAGCTCCTGCTGGGGACCATTCTCTTCACACTTGTCGCTTATCTCTTTCCCACCATTCTGGTGTACTATATCTTATTCGCCACAGCGAGTCTCAGCGTGGCCCCATGATGTGACATCATGACCGGATCCTTCCAACGATCCTCGAGTTCATCGATGAACTAAGGGCTTCTCCGATTATTATTTGGTCCGATGCGCTTCACTATGGAACTTGTTCATCAAAATGAGATACAACACATCTTATTACAACTCCCTGGCATTGAGCTATGCGAAAATTGTAGAACTTCTACCTCAATTTGTCATGTGGTAACCCTATGCCCAACGGTAATTTGAAAGTCTCACCCCAAACTTTTCAGGCCACAGTGCAAGGTGAATTGAATCCATCATTAAATTGTGCTGGTGTTGAAAGCCTAATTAGGAATCTCTGATATAGTACCCATGCCTCATGGTTTGTCAAAATTGTCATTTACCAGACTGGACTGAATCCGAACGTTTTGAGGCATAGAGGGCGGCCGAAATAAAACTTATATGACGCTGCTGTGCTGTTGTTGGTACTAGCCTGGTAGTCTGAGACTACCCAGATTCTGATGTACTCATATGACGGACAGCCCGCCGACGCTGCACTCGATAACAATAGCCAGAGTCATCCAAGTCTGGCAGCTAGTCATTCCAGCTATCCCCAGGCCGCTGGCTTTGATTTGGACTACCAGCAGCCCCACCATAACTCATCCCACTTTGTGAATGTGCCCGGGCCAGTGAGCCAGAGCTCTGACCTGGGCGACCAGACATTAGCATCGTTTCCCTATACACCACTTTCTTTCCCCAGCCGTGCCTCCCACTCTGCAAATACTTTTCCAGACCCCCACTTCATCGATTTACCCACAAACCTTCGCGATCATTATGATCTCGTCATGCCTGGCGCTGACGAAGATCCATCAATGTCATTTGTCAATGACCCATTCCAGTTCACCCTCAATCCACATGTAGGGTATCACCCGGTGTACAACCCTTCTGCTATCCCTTACCAGGGATCTGGGCCATCGCACCCATCTCCTTCTCAGTACTTTCCTGTATTCCCTCCGCCCATCGTGTCTGTTGATGGAATATCCACTTTAGCGCCAGGCTCAGAGGATATTGGGCCTCTTGGAGAGCTGCTACATCTGGATGAGCTGTTGTCCCTCAGAGACTTGTTTCACATCAGGGAGCCTTCACCTCCCCCTCTGTGTCCATCTGGATCACACAATCGTCAACCACCTGGAAAAACTGTTTGAAACCAAATTTTGGCCATACCCACGTGTGCGACCAAAGTTGAGGGGTTTAACTAGCGTTCAGGTGGGCTACCATCATTATTTTTTATAAATCGTTAATCACTAATGAATTTCAGGGTGCTACTCCATCCACGGCACCTTCACGACCATCTTGCATAGCGCCTTTGCAATACAACAACAAGATCCGAATCCATCGAAAAATCTTTGAAGACGCACGTGTGACACTCATTTGATCTGCGTTCAGTACATGCCCATTCTTGACTGAGCAAGAAAGAAAAACGGCGGCTCATGAGGCGTTGGTTTTGGCAGCAAGTGTATATGATGAAGGTAAGCTGCAGTACCTATGTTAATTTTCGAACGTATCTGAAACTTCCAAAGAGTACGAGAGTCGATGGGGTGCAGAAAACCTCACTGTGTTCTACAAATCGTTCACAATGCTGCCGTCCGCAGATATCATGTCAACATGCAAGAAAAGCACCCGTGGCATGGCCGAAATCGGGTACGATCTTCGCTCATCAATCTGGTCAGAGGATCATGAACCACAGTATCTGATTGATATGGTGAAGGACCTCATCGACGATCCTTTATTCCCCCTCAAATTCATATTTGGGAATGACTTGGGTAATCACCAAGTTGACAAGATGCACCCATTCGAACATCGCGTCATATGCACAGTCGTTATCAACACCATTTTGAAACTCGGCTATGTACCTTACATTACTGAACTTGATGCTTTGTTTTGTACAGCTGCAGCGGCTGTGGAGTGTGCTCTACAGGAGCTAGCGAGCGGACAGCTAAACACGTCCATTGACTTTGGGGTATCTAATTTCAAACCTAGGTATACATTACTATTGGAGTATATTTGTGACCACATCAAAACCAACCCAGAGAGCTCTGCACATTGGGAAGAGTTCAAAAACCGCATTCGTGCCAGATTGGTAGACATAACTGCATACCATGCTTGATTTTCATGCATTTGACTTACGTCAGTTACTATAGTTATAGCACATCCTACTAGTAGTATACATGTAATTTGACCACTTTCCGTCGTGACAATGAAGTTGTGGTGAAACTTACACCTAAGAAATGTGTTGTTCTTCAGGTTGACTGCGTCTACTACAGTGTAGTTGATGATAAGAGATCGACAATAAGAGAGTCATGAATTCACTGATTAACGGTAACATTCGGATTCCGGAAGCTTATCACTGATTCGGATTCCGAGCTCGTCCGTCACTGCCACACCTTCAAGTTATCGGCCTCTCTGCTAGGTTGATCCTGCAGCCCATCCCCACGCCAGTTGTAGATGAGAGTTCTTCATCACATCGTGAAATCAACTTGTATGAATAGCTTACACAGAGCTCTGCAGCAGATTCACCAACAGTGATATTTTTTGATTTACTCGCCAGATGACTCAATTTCAACTACATTATGGCGCATCAGTGCGAATTTCCTCCTGATCGCAGATATTGGGAACAGGGCCCTCAATTACAGAGACTGTACTCTAAGGATTTTTGCCTTCAGTGAGTTCACGGACATTTGTCATATTTCTGCTGATGTCAATTTCACTTTTCAGATCTCTTGACAGTGACCTCCACTACTCTGCTACTATCATGCACATTGAGGTGACAAGTCCGTCACCAATTTGCAGGGACCCCATCCCCATCCTTCATTTCATGTGTTGTAAGTGTGACAATCTATGGGGGCAATTTGTTCTTATCCTCTGCACCTTTCCAACACTGACTTGCACTCCCACAGCTCCCCTCATTTCTTCTGCCTCCAAGGCCTGGGTCACGAGCCCCACCGCTGAACCAAACCGGTGGAAACTATAAATGCACGTTCTTCCCCACCAATGGTGAAGCTGAGCGCAGGATCTCATTCTTCGCTAGCTCTCTCACCTGCCCGATCTCCCCGTGGATGCTATACCTACGTTCACAGTCATTGTTCCTCGCTACTCTGAGAAGATTCTACTCAGCTTGCATGAAATCATCCGCGAAGAAGACCAGAACATGCGTGCGACGTTGCTCGAGTACCTGAAGCAGCTCCACTCTGTTGAATGGGACAACTTCATGAAGGACCCGAAGATCCTTGCAGGGGAGAGCGAACCAGTGGATAGGACGGGTTCGATCAATGAGAAGCATATGAGCAACAAAGCGGACGACCTGCCGTTCTACTGCATTGGTTTCAAGACATCGAGCCCATAATATACCCTCCACACACGTATCCAACGAGCAACAAGAAAGACATTTTAATTGTTGACTGGGACGGCCCAAATGACCCCACCAATCCTAAAAAGTGCGTTGCGTGAACACAGCAGCGTTTTAATCGGGCTTACAGTGATTGCACAGTTGGAGCCACAGAGGAAAATGGGGTGCTAGCATCATCGTGTCGCTCTTCACATTTATCAGTCCAGTTTCTTCCTCTATCATCGCGCCCGCCGCTTTCCAGGTGGCTGATGAATTTGGGGTAACAAGCGAGATCTTAGTATCAATCATGACATCCATCTTCGTACTTGGATATGGTAAGGCAATTTGGTAAAATTACCCCGCTCATCAACTGAACTACAACTAGCGTTCGGGCCTTTCCTTCTGGGTCCACTGAGTGAAATATACGGGCAATCGCGCGTATTACAATTGGCAAATGCGTGGTATCTTGGTATGTGATCTTTTCAAGCTGATATATCATTTCATCCTCATGCTTGAAATCGTAGGATGGAATCTTGCCTGTGGATTCGCAAAGTCTGAAGCTCAGTTCATTGCCTTCTGATTCCTCGCTGGCCTCGGAGGCAGCGTGCCCATGGTGGTAAATTTTAAATGTCTTCAATAGGAAGTATTCATTCTGAACGTCTTCCTTTTCAGGTCGGTGGTGGCGTTCTCGGTGATATCTGGCGACCGGAAGAGAGAGGAAAAGCCATCGCTGTTTTTTCCTTGGCTCCGTTATTGGGACCTGTTGTTGGACCTGTCACTGGCGCCTGGTTTGTGATTTTCCGAAATTTAATGACATTATCTAATTCTTCCTAGGATTGCTGAATGTTCAACCTGGAAATGGGTGGTATGTGATCTTTCCACTAGTTGAGGATTGTTCTCATTTCTATGGTAGTTCTATGCTACTTCCATTGTGGATGCAATTGTTCAACTCTTGTGAATGTTTTACCCTAAAGAGAGTGAGTAATTGACTGGCCATGGTTCGCTCATCCTTACTGATTTTGTTTCAGCTTATGCCCCTGTCCTATTGGAATGGAAGGCAGTCGAGCTTCGCAAAACGATGGATACCGAGAAGGGGCCATACAGAGAAGTCCGCACCGTTTTCGATGGTGAAGCCTGCCAGTAAGTCCTTGTATAATTTTGGTAGGATGTTATCTGACGACAGCGATTCCTATAGCTGGAAGACCATCATGTCCAATGCGCTCAAACACCCTTTCCAACTCTTTTTCCATGAGCCGATCATAGTGCTCCTCAGTATTTACATGGCGTATCTATACGGAATCCTTTACCGTAAGTCGCTTGTTCTTGGTTTTCTTTCATGAGTATGATCTCACAGTCTCTCAGTCTTTTTGACAACATATCCAACGATCTTCTAGGGTATTTATGGAGAATTGGTCGGAATCACCGGCCTTCATTACATTGCACTTGGCGTAGGGTCGATGTTGGCATCCCAATTGAATGCGAAGTTGATGGACAAGATTTACGTTTATTTCAAGAATAAAAATGGTGGAGTTGGCAAGCCAGAATTTAGATTGTGTTCGTCGTATTTCTTCTAATGTCTCATTTCTTAAGTGCTCATTCACTGTCATCAGCTGCTATGTTCCCAGGATCTCTCCTACTTCCTATGGGGATGTTGATAGGAGGTTGGTGTGTTGAAAAGTGTACATTATGGATAGGTCCTGATGTTGTGAGTTTGATCCTGCAAGTACCGCCTCCCATACTGACGGCTTCTATAGGGCAGTGTGCTTGTTGGAGCAGGCATTGTTCTGAATTTCCAGTGCATCCAAACTTACATCGTTGACTCCTTCATGCTCTATGCCGCTTCTGGTACGTATCATGTTTATTTGGCACTTCCATTGCATCAATGGGCGAGCAGATGCTCAGCCGGGAGTACTACTATCTCGAAATGCAGTTGCCAATTGATTGTTTCCTGACTGTCTACGCAGCAACACTTCATCCATCGTAAGTTTGTAAATTTGAATATCCAAACCACAAAGCGCTAATGTGCACCTCCAAGTCCCAGGAGGTACTCAATCTCTCGCATTTCCCACTCAAACAAGCGACGCTCTCTTGCAATCCACAGCACCATCATCGCATGCATTTCTTCTCCCCAGAGTGGCAGCCGCAGGACCGGCGCAACTGGCTGCTCCAGGTGATAGAGTTGTTGACATACACGCGCATGTGCGATCACCCATGTCATGTAAAGAATTTCCTACAAAATCAGTACTTTTCTTCTTGAATGTATGTCTTTTCACTTATCAGTTGCTCATCTGGTATGGTAAATGATATGTTGCGAGGGTTTGGTAAGTGATTCAGATGCTGGTGCTGTGACTTGTTGATGCACATGCCACGATCGGGCTAACATGCCTACCTGGTAGTTGCGATCCTGCAATGGCACCAGCCTGGGTCAGCGCGGACTCATCAACTTTAATCAGTTGACAACACACCTGACCAATATTGTTCCCTTCTCTGTTTCTATTTCTGTTTCCATTTCCATTCGCTCTGGTTCTGAGTCCATCTAAGTAGTTTTGCATCCCAAAGGTTGATAGATTTATGAAGACTCGCTGGATATCAACACTTGAGTGTTCGCGACGTTCAGAGATGATGTCCCAATTTGGAAAATCGCTGATATTATGAGTGACAGGTCACAACTGTGACTTGGCCTCGGTGTGTCACGGTATGCATTCAGTGTACAGATGCTGACGCAAAGCCCGACGCAAGGTTCAAGGCAAGTCATCTGTGCTTCCCTTTCACGCTATATCTAACTTCTTGACCAGGGATGGCCAGATGTGCGCCATCCTTTCCTCATTCCATCTGATCTCCAAGCAGCAGCCCAACAACATCATGATAGGCTTGCCGAAATCGAAATATGTCAGTATATCATCACCCATAACTGTAAGTCCATGAGTATATACCCTATATGCGCTCATTTCAGTCGAAAATTCTAGTGTACCGAGGATTCTGCCATGCACGCGAAAATTCGCATCCTAGAAGCTAAACACGCTGATGTTGCATGTCAACGAATGGAAAATGCTTACTGCTGACACAGGATGCTAGCCCAGTTTGACCATCTTGCAGAGACATATTTTGATGGGTTTGAGCAGGACCTGGGCAAGCGCGAGCTCGGGTACACACTTTCATTTGACCATGACCTAGATGTGTTTGCTGCATCTATTGGGCTCACGAAAATATCCATCGCTGTGATTCTCAATGATGAAGGTGTGTAACACTGCCTTTATTGACACGATGTTTGTTGCTCACAAATCACTCCAAAAACGATACAGGAATCAGGAGTAAAGATAGAGCTTATGGAGCAGCGCATGAAGGTGGTCAAGAAGCAAGCAGACACCATTGCAGATCTTGAGATTGAGCTCTCGAAAGCACGCAAGCAGGAGCGCATGTATGAGGAAGCAATGGAGCAACTGCAGGCAGACCTAGATACATTTAAGCAAGATAATGCAAAGCTGACGGCATTGGCTGCCGCTTCAGAGAGACAAGGTATGTTTCTTTGTATTGGGGTTAAATGAACAGTTTGGTGACTGCACGTGTTTAGCTGCTGGCACACAGCTCGTCGATTCAGAGAATGTGCCCATGTAGGGCAATGTGGAGACATCACACCTTCTGGAGCAAGTTCGTGCAGGTTCAATGACATCTTATTGTTTTTCTGACTCTTAATTAGATCAAGGCTCTTCGTGGCACTGTCCGTTTCTTGTGCACAGAAAACTCGTATCTCAAAGGGCCTGTCAGCTGCATACATACAACTCCACTAGACCCCTCAGGTCAACCCGACACAGACGAATCAGATTCTGAGACCCCACCTGCACCTCCTACCATTTGCTCGCTCGTTTTTGTCCGACCCGCCAACCCCTCCACAACCAGGATTCATAAGCTTGCCGTGTCAGATGGTATGAATATGCGTGCTTGTGTTGGTTAAGCTAAATCAGGGAGTGCAGCGCAACCATGAGTATTCTTGATCATTCGCGCTAACAGTGCGATTCAAGCTCCAGTTCATGAATCTGCATGCTTGTGTTGGATAAACTGGATCCGGGGAGTGCAGTGCAACCATGAACATCGCCTATCATTTGCTCGCTCATTTTTGTCCAGCCCGCCAACCCCTCCACTACCACACAGCTCCCGCCTGTTATACCTGCTGCATTTATGGCAAGGCTCAAACACCTATGTGCCACTGAAGTTTGCATGTGCCCGGCACTAGAAATCTACCTCGCAGACCTATTTACCGCGACACGGCATTTGGGTGCGCTAGACGCCATGATGCTTACTGCCCGTGCACGCCAAGATGCGGAGGTCCTTTTCAAGCTCAGCTAATTATGTACCAGACTTACTTTATCGTATCGTAGTGATATTGAACACAACATCCAAAAACCCTTGGAGCAATGCCCTTAGTCGCCAACGCCAATGCCAAGTTAATCAATTTGAAAGGCGTGTTTTACCAAAAAGTCATAAATAACCATATAATTGAAACATAAAGAAGGAAACATAAGAATGCTCAACAAATGGACACACTTGATGCTACCAGCCCCTACAGGCAGCGATGGTGCAATGTCACAATGTTGTCACAAACTTGCGTGCTAATCTAGATTTGATGATTAATGCAAACACCGCTTTCCATGAGAAAGCTTTGAATAGCTATGTAATTGAAACATAAGTATTGGAGAATGAGAATGCTCAACAAGGGGGATAAATTACACTACCATCTCTTGCTGGTCATCATGTTATGATGTCACGACCTTGTCACAAACTCCTCACGGTAATCTAGATTTGCAGACATCAATGGTTATGTATCAACAACTCAAATTTATCGCAGCATACATAGCCATATTTAGCAGAGGCAGAATTACATCCTTCTATAGTTTCCACAGCTACAATATCAAGGACTCATGAATTCACTGATGGTAGATCCGACTTCTGAGACTGGATAGATGAATATCTTGACAATCATTCTCCTGGCATTCACAGCCGTCGGTCATTTTGGTGCACGAGCCATGCCAGGCCCAGACACCACTGACTCATCATGCGCGTGGAGTGCGTGTGGGGAAATGCAGTGTCCAGAGGACTCTTTGGTCGGGAACGTCAGACGTTGCACCCTCAAAGATGGTCATGTTGGGATACAATCATTTTGCTGTAGTAGGGCACATTAAGTGGTGAACATGGGGGGGAGAGAGTAGTAGCAGGGAGTGTTGATGGTTTTGGCATGAGGATCTGAAGTTCTCAATTGCATAGTACTCACTATTCCTTTCCATTGTCTCCCAGTACTTAAGGTCATCTGAACCGAACTCCAACTCATCCTATGATATTAAAGTTGTGGTCATCAGAGCGTGTTGCAGGGCATCCAGCAGATTGTCGTCAGCCATTTCAAGGTCTTTGCTCAAGTTTTCATAGAAACCGGTGGAGTAGGGGTCCCAAGGGGGCAAGAACCATGGACGCAGAGCCTAGCAGCCTTTCCCACAGCTTCCATCAGGAAAACCCTCCCAAGGCAAATTAGCCAAAATTCACATAAAGTCGTAACATTCGCATAATTACAGGTATTTATAAATAAAGTAGAAGGATGATAATGTTAGATGTGATTATTGTAACACAAATGAATGATTAGCAAGAGTTATTGAGAATTATCTGAACATTGAAAAAGTATGTATATCTATGTACGAGTTCAACCAGAAGGTGTCACTATGGCGCTGGATCTGTTCAACTATTCTTCACATGCAAAACTCACACACGCACAGACACCACACACACACAAATGAGACATACACACATAATCACTCCGTCGCATACACACTCTTGTACCATAGAAAAATTAGTACTGCTGCACTGCACTATTAGATCTGACATGATTCAATAATCAATTTATATTGCAGACAAGGCTGCTGATGAAGGGTTCTATAAACAAATCTTTTTAATGCCCGGCTGGTAGACGAGATGGAGCAATGAGAAGTGAGTAGGTCTCGGAGTGAAATGCACTGAGAGTCGCCAGCATTGGCAGCAAAGCCTCAAATCTTTTTAAGGCCTGGCTGGTGGATGAGACAGAGTGATGAGAAGTGAGTAGGTCTTGGAGTGATGATCAATTTATATTGCAGACAAGGCTGCTAATGAAGGGTTCTATAAGCGCCAATCAAGTAGAGTCCAAGGGCAAAAAAATGCACCGAAGCCGCCAGCATTGGCAGCAAAGCCTTGGCTGGTGGACGAGAGCGAGAAAAGAAGATGGAAAGCTGCTAGTATTGGTGTCAAAAAGATGTTCGCGCTGGGTGGATCCTTGATGTAAGTGTCGATGAGAAGGGCCATGAGCAAAAGTGCCCAAATCTAACAAGGTCTGGCAAGGTCCAGAGAGTCTCCCATGGCCACATGATGCCTTCCGAGGTTTGAATGTATTTGTTCATCATTATGCAAGGTGTGCATACTCGTCTCGTAAGGCCTCACTAGACTCTTTCAACCTCATAGCAGCCTTGCAAGGCATTTCAAGATCAGCTCAGCAGTTGTTGGCAGCTGTAAACCATTCGACATATACAAGGTGAGTAGGAACATGGACCATTGGTGGGAAGAGCAGCAGAGGGTGTGGTAAATAATGGGCAAATGAATAAGTTCAAGCACTAACCCACCTAAAGTTAATGCAAGTCAGGGATGGCAGAGACTGTGTCCGAGACTAGTGGTAATGAGCATTATCCAAGTACGAGCGGTATGGAATGGCAGAGACTGTGTCTGAGACTAGCAGTAATGATATGTGTGGTGAAAAGACAGCGAGTATGAGCAATATGGGATGGTAGAGACTGTGTCCAAGACTAGCAGTAATAAGTGTTGTCCGAGTATGAGGAATACAATCTTCCATATGTGTGGTGAAAAGACAGTGACCCGAAGTTAATGCAAGTCAGGGACAGATGGTGCCAAGACTAGGAATGTGGCATTCAAAGAACATACACACGAGCATTGAGTTGACTTGAGAGAACTTAGGATTTGAACAGAAGTAAACTGGCCAAACTAAGCTTTATTTTGGGGGGGAAGGATCAACTCCTGATCCTGCACTAAGTACGCTAGTTTATATAGGTTAGAGAGGATCGGGGAAAGTAGGAATAAAAGAAATAAAAGAGGGAATAAACAGGGTAAAGTAAAAGGAGAGAATATATCAGAGTTGATTGATATATTAATTGGTAACCATCTAGGTGTTGGATGCCTAAGTCTTTTAATGAACGTCACATACACCCTCCAGCTCATCCAGTAGGAGGGGCTGCAATGTTGTGCGGGAGTTAGGATGATGAGAATGAGTATATGGGACAAGGTGAGACTGAGGACGGCAAATCTACCCAAGAATTGAGCATTATATAAGCTCTTGATCCTGGTGTCACATTCTAGGTCCAATAGCTCGGCAGCTGCAACAATATCATCAACATCTGCACCAGGATCCACTTCATGAGGGGTAGAGGAAGTGGGAGTAGGAGTACTCTTCAGGTTCTCGGCCTGGGTGGTCATGGCAGAGATAACTTGAGCAGCCATTAAGGGTGCAGGAGAGTTTGCATGGAGTGCGGAGCTCAAGGAGGAAGGTTGGAACCGCTTGTATTGAAGGTCACGGTTCTGGCGACAGTTGTCGATGGAGAGGTTACTACTAGGCATGACCTGGGGTTGGGACATGTAAGAGCATTCATGCTCAGCTCGAAGTTGTTGTTCAAACACAGGAGTCTCTTTTTTGATCACTAGTTCCTCTAAGAGAGCACTGGTCTTTAGACTGTGAGCCTGGAGAGGGGTTGTAAATTTCTCACTAGCTTTTGCCTCAGTTCTGAAGAACTGGGTGAAGGCATTGAGTGCTTCAGCGTTAGGTTCCCTGTGGGAAGACCTATATCCTCTTCCACCTTGTCCTCTGGGGCAGTTATTCCTCCTGCTTGAATGAGAGGCTCTAGGATGAGGGGCGTGAGGTTCTGAGGCTGGGATCTCGCCTGGTTTGTGCAAGGGAGGATGAGCGATAATGTCGATGTTCATCGGCTTGGGGAGAGAATGGACAGGGACTGCTTGAGACATGGGAGGTTCAGAGGATTCGTTGACTCGAGTGGGTGTCTCTCTTATATGATTCAGCTCAGGGTCTTTGGAGAACATCTTAACCGGTAAATCAGAGAGCATTTGAGTGATAATTTGCTCGATGCAACGCCTAGCGTCGTTGGCTGTATCAATGGTAGTGACCGAGGTGACACTAGTGTCTTGGGTTGCCTTAGAGATCTTCTGAGGTAAGTGCGTTATATTGGGCACACCTAATGCTTCAAGGTACTGCCCAACGGCTTCCAATTGAGATACTTCATAGTATGGGAGCCAGACTTTATCTCTGGTCATATACTCAACCTCAAACAATGAGTTGGTTCCCTGACCATTCCTCGAGACTTCCCAAGTCAGCAATTTAGTCAAGTTGTCTCCCGGGGAACTGTCAATCATCGTTTGGTATGTGGATCCTAAGTAAATGAGTGTGGAATGCAGGGTGAAGCCCTTGTTGCTTGAGGTTCGCGGGGAGGTCTAACAGGTAAGAGTTGTTGTGGTAGTCCTCAAGGATTTTGAATGGGCCGATAAACTTTGGTGCGAGTTTTCGGGCTCTGCCCTTTGGTAATGACAGGTTTTTGGTGGACAGGTAGACGAGATTGCCCTTTACAAAGGGTGACTCTTTGTGCTTACAATTAGCGATCATAGTGTTCTTGACTTGGGCTGCAATGAGGGTGTCATGGGCGCTCATCAACACGTCCTTTATTTGTTGAGCAAATATACGGACACCAGGGTACTCAGATTCAGCATTCCAGATCATTGATGGGGGCTGTCGCCCATAGATTAGTATGAATGGAGAGTACTTTCGCAAAACTGAACTAGCCAAGTTTATTGTGAACTCGATGGCTGGGAGTTTGATCACCCAGTCACGCTGATCAACAGAGACCACCTGTCACAGCATCTGGGTCATGGTTCAGTTTGCTCATTCAGTTGCACCGTCAGACTGTGGGTAAAATGAAGTTGACATCCTTAGCTCGACACTCATTAATTGATATAGTTGTTTCCAGAATGTACTCGTAAAGAGGGTATTGCAGTCGCTAACAAGGTTAGAGGGCATCCCATGTAACTTGTAGACTAAGTTAAACATAACTTCTGTGATGTCTTTGGCATGGTAGGTCTACTTGGTGGGGGCTAGGTGGACCATTGAGGTCAAGTGATCTATCACAACCAGGATCATATCAAATGAACTGTTTAGGGTGTGCGATTCGGGCAGTGGTCCAATGAAGTCGATTCCTACTGTCTCCCAGGGGCGTGAGGGTATGTCAAGGGTCTCCAGAAATCCATAGGGTTGATGGTTAGAGGGTTTGGAGACTTGGCAAGTGCCACACAAGTTGCAGAACACCTGTACATCTGCTGCCATTTCTT